ACTGTTGTCTGTGTCAGTACCATTATCATGGCTTTAACTGCCACCTTTTTTCAGGTAAACAGTAAAACTGAATACAGTATTTTTCTAATCAAAACAATACAAGGTTAGTTTTATAAAATAAACAATTTAGAGGAAAGTTTTAAAGGAAGGTAGGAAGACGTAAAACTCAGTAATTGTAACATACAACAAAGGTAAGCATTTTTAATTGTTTTTTAAAAAACACAATGAAATATTTATCTTTTTTTAATTTCAAAGATGCAAATACATAAACTTACAAATACCACATATAAAAAAGATATCTTATTTGTAAAAAGCTACATAATCTGTATAAAGTTCTTATGAAGTTTCCAACAAGTTAATATAGTTTTTTGTTGTTTTTTTATGGCAATGCAATAAAATGAACCATCACAAGATGCATAAAGTGTACACACCCAGGTGTGACATTTAAACAGTATTAATTGGTAAAATCTAAAATACCCAAGTCTTATGATATATACTACTGAGTATAGGATAAAGTAACTGCTAATTGTAGTGCATGTTTCTTAAAAATAAATAACATGCTTATAATAAGAAATTCAATTGAAGTATGTTTGTTGCTAAGCTTAAAGTTACACAATGGGTTATCTGTTCTCTGCCCACGCTGGTATACTGAAAGCCCTCAGACTTACCAATGAGCCATCAGAATGCCAAATGAAGTAAGTGCAACAGGTATTTTATCCCCCCCCCCCCAACAAAAACAAATTTCCTATACAAAAAAATGCAATTCAGAAAGTATTTTTACAAATGTAATAAATTGATTACTCATATTAACAAATTATTAATTCAGTTACTATTAAGTTTCATTGTACTGAAATTACACTTGTTTAGTATTACATGAAAAATGAGTTAACTCATGAAAGATAGTTGTGGAACAACATGAGCTATTTATTGTTAAATGTTCCCATCGGTACAGTGGTAAGTTTACAGACTTACAATGCAAGAATTCGGGGTTTGATCCCCCATTGTGGACAGAGCAGGTCGCCCAATGTGGCTTTGCTCTAAAACATACAAACAAAATACTCCTCACTAATACTTGTTTTCAGGCAATTTATTTTACTGAACTTGATGCCACATGTAAAATATCTTAGGTATATGTAAGTAAATGCTTTTTTATTATTACTGGAAATTGAGCAACATCATTAACACACCTGTACACTATATCACTTACATATTGCAAAAGAAATAAGCATTTTGAAATTTTTACAACTAACAGGAGGGGAATATCCAATTTTCACAACAATAGAATTATTTCAAAGTTTTAACTTGCTAGTGTGACAATTATTACTTTAAGGCATCCTTATAATATGTATGAATGGAATATTGAAACATTTTAAGAAAGTTATTTCCAGAATATAGAATTCTGCTTGAGATGTTTGAAAACTAAGAAGGCATTACCAAAGTTTTAGATTTTTATAATATGTAGTAGGAACATGTTATTTCAACAAATATAAGAAATAAAATACAATGTATATTTCTTTAAGATATCTATAACTTTGAGATGTAATATTTTGTTATTGAATCTTGAAAAATATTTTTTATCCATGAAACTTTAAATATGTTAATTGTTTACACAATTTTAAGTATAAAGAGTAAATTGTAAGAACCATCTATGAGGCTATTTATAAAACCTTAAACAAATCTCTCACAACTGTATTATAAAGCTATAATTGTCAATTACAATAAAGAAACTATCAAAATATATGTATAAGTTATAAACAGTTAGAAATACCAGAATTTAAAAAAATTGATTGCAATTATTTAATGTCATATATAACATTTTATTAAAAGGTCTGCATGACAGAGAGGCACACAACTTAGATATTTTCTTGACCACTGTCATTCCTCAAAGTAAAATTTACTTCAAAGCAGTCAACAGAGATCCGTCTGTCACTTGTACACATGATAATACAGAGTTAATAGCTCAAGATTTCTAAGAACCTCTGCATTAGGATCAGTGACATTGTCTGTTTAACATGGTTAAGGTTAATATAAAACAAAACAAGACATGCAGTTTACAAAATGAATTTTTAAAACCTTCTCTACTATATAAAGTATAATTTCCTACAGCAGTGGAACATAAAATTTTGTACAAAACAAAAGACAGTATGAATTATATATTTGAACATAAACAACACAAAGTAGTTTTGAATCATTGGTGGCATTTTTATTTTGCAATGTTTTTGTTTACGAGATGAAAAGTTTTGTATTTTCTGATAAATATATCACATAACATTTCTCTAGTTTCTAAAACATGATTCCTACCTTGATACTGGACAAAACTTTCATAAGTACATACCTCACTAGACTGGCTGACAAACATATTGAAATAAGTAGTTACAATGCTACAGCTGGCTGCTGTACACACAATGACCACCTCTGTCTATTTGTAAAAGAATTTTATCAAGAAATAATTTTCAATAAATCACAGTGTAAACCTAATGTGACCTAGCAATACATGTGCATTCAGAGCATGTAATACTGTTTTCATTCCATAAAGCATAAACTCACTGAATTCTACAACTGCCATGCAAGCCATACAAAATAGCATGAATATCTTTCTATATTCATAACTTAATAGAATATTTTCCTGTACAAAAGATTTCTTATTAAAATTCTCATTTATTCTGAGTATTAGCAACATAAATGATATTTTTTTTAAATGAAGGATAAAAACTTAAGATATGTTAGTGAGCATTTATTCAGAAAAAAAAAAAATGACAGTATTGAGAAACTTGCAAATAGCTCAATAATTACTTCTTGAAGCCATTCACTAAATTTTGTTGAAACATTAAAGAAATATTTAGATCAAAATAATGTAAGTTCAAGCTATAGAAAAGACATCAGGCTATAATGAACTTGTAGTATTTAAATAATTTTTAAAATATATGCAAACAACTTCAATTATTAGTTAGCTGAAATGTTAAGTGCCAAATTAACTGGTAAATTTCATTAAAAAAATTAACAATTATATAAACCCCTTTTAAAGACATGAATATATTAAAAAAAAGTGTTTTTTAAATCTTTCTTGCTGAAATATGGTAGAATCAGTCATATTAAAATAGGAATAAATTCAGTGGAAATTATTGACAAAATGGAGTTTCAATTACAGCTTTTCACTTGAAATTTAAAGTTAAAATTAAGTTTGCGGATTTGGTTTTACTTGAATAGTCCACCATTATTTACAAGTATAAGAAACAATGTTTAATTTCCCACTTTCAGCTTGTAGCTGCTGACATATGACTACTTCTGTCTACTAACTGGCTAGTGAGAGAAGATTGAGGGTGCTGCAGTGCTAAAAAATGGGAAAGCTCTTAGGTTTATTGTATTTTTAAGGCTCAGAATAATATTCTTATTAATATCTTATGTATATTTCATTTAATTTTGGTTGGTTTCCATAATATAATACATAACTTAGGTTAATTTGCATAAGTCATAAATTTTTACTAAAGTTATAATTTTCCTAAGTCAAATGTATTTCCAATAGGTACTTCCCTCTTCTCACAAGATTAACTTTTCTCGTTTTATGCTGCCCTCTATATGCGAACTTTTTCAGAAGGCTTGTCATAATCCTTCATCTTCCTTCTGTTGAAATCCAAAGTTCCAACACATCTTTCATGCAAATCATCATGCATCACCTCTCTACCAATAGGAGAGCACTACTATCATGTGACTCCCTCTACACATCACTACCGAATCATCACTTCAAAGTTTGGCAGAAGACATGAGCAACAGAAGATTGTGGGGAGGACGGACGGGAAGTGTGAGCCAAGGGAAGTACCTATCAGAAATACATTTTCAGTTAGGAAAATTATAACTTCCGATAAGGTACTCTCCCTCCACTTACATTATTTGCTTGCATCCCACATTGAAATGGAGGAGGGACCAGTACGAGGGAAGCACAGGCGTGTCCTCTGGAAGCATCCAGAATGAGAGAAACAGATCAGATGATCTGAGGAGGGGTACCGCACCACATCTGAGCCAGGTAGTTCTTCGCCAGGAACATCGACATGATCAGGAGGACCAGACACGGTGGAGCACTAAAGGATACCAACATCCTCGCAAGGGTAGGATGAGGATCATACAGTCCTCACCTCAAGTCCCAGAATCAAAAGAGAACCTAACAGGACAGAAATGGAAACAGGCCATGTAGACCTTCTGTGACCCACAACAAAGAAGGCAAGTTGAGAGGGAAAGATGGACAACCTGAAAGTTGTGTGAGGACTTATGTGGTTGGTTCACTCGATCTCCAAAACCTCACTTTGTGGGTACTGACATCCATGCGAGGGTAGGAGGAGGGCACCCAATCAGAGGTGTGAACTGCACTTGGACATCTCAACTCTGAGAAACAATCACTCATCCGGAGGATCTGGTAACTCCCTTTACACTGGCAGAACACCACCACCCTACTCTGAACTGAATGGTTATAGCCATCTTTGTGGAACCCATCTAGCAAGAGAAAAGTGTGGTGGAGAGTCCAGAGGGACAGCAACACCCAAGACAGTGCAATGGGTGATTTTGAAAAGCAGACCACACCGATTTATTCAATCTAGACATGGCAGGGATGGGTAGCAATCCTCTTCTGCTATACCCATGCCATCCATGGGTGGTACAGTCCAGGATGAACATATTATGATGCAATTGTTACGAGAAATTTACACTAGTGATCTTGTGAAACACCCCATCTCAAGGGTGAGCATACATAGCCATGGAAAATGTATAAGAATCAACAATGCTTACAGATTTGATATCAAGATGTCTGCTAATGGTTATAGCCATCTAAGTGAAACCCATTCCAAGTACAGACAGAATAACTGGTCAGGCACCACTCGCCACAAAGCGGAATCCAAAGTGAAGCTGAAGCAGGGGCCCCTGAAAGAAAAGAAAGCATAAGTGAGGGCTTACCTCATGTCACAACCATACCGAAGACTGTAGAATAGCAGCAGGTGATACCCTGAGGAAGCAGAAACAGTGATGTAGTATAGGTAGTGGGAGATGAATGTGTGGAGTTGTCCACATGCCCCATCGTAGAATCTCTTCCAATGGCCAACAAAGACAAGAGGCAAGGGAGAAAGTCAGATGATGGATTTGATGTGAGGAAAAACGTTAAAGGGATCACACTGGGAAGGAGACAAGGAGGAATAGGCCAACTGGGTCAAACATCAAACCCAACTGGTCAGGGTAACTGTGAAAAATCACGGGAAAAGCAAGGTTGCCAATGGATAAAAAGGCAAAAAATGAGGAACCCTGAAGGAAGTTGTGCGAGCAATTGAATATCGAAGGGCACAGACAGAATAGAGGAGTCTATCTGGATCAGGATGAGGGTAGAGAAGGGATATAGAGAATAAGCAGACAGGGGAAAAAGAACTTACCTTATCGAGCTGCAGAGGTCTTGGGAAGGAAATCCTGATCCAGATAAAGGATAAGGTAGGAGAAATGATACAAGGTCCTGGTAATGTCAAGGACAAAAATATCCAATCTATGATGCCCACAGGCCAGGAGGAGGAGGAAATATGCCTTCAAAGAGAGGTGAAACAGGAAACACATAGACAGAGGTAAAGTGCAGGCAGGAAGGACCATATCAATGTCACAGTCTGGGAGTGACCGACACCTCAGTGGCCAATGGAGCCGGGAGGTAAAGATCAACATGAAAAGCACAGGGGAAGCAAAGACCCTGCAGGAGCCGGAAAAACATAATGTATGGGATAATGCAGCCTGAAACCCTGAAATCGAGGAGACTGAAGAACCCCTCTCAAAAAGCCATGTGAGAAACTCCAAGATACAGGCAACCATTGGATAAGAAGCCTGGAAATCCGAATCAATGCCTCGGAGCAATAAATGCTCCATTTGCGTTGATGGATGGCCAAAGAAGATGGGCAATTGGAAGGGGCTAAGTGTGAAGCTAGCCTGCGAGAGAAACTGGAACTTCTTACCAAGAACTTGACAAAAAGGCAGGCATAAAGACAGAGGATGGATGGTGCAGAATGGAGGGCTGGTGACAGGAGAGGAACCACCTGCAGGTGGAGCAACTGAGGAAACCAAGGTGATTTGTGATTGAGAGCAGTGGCAAAGGCATACCCAGATGCAGACAGAGCCACAAAAAATGGCAGAATGCAGGGACCACTCCGTGAGATAAACTAGATCCAGATGAGAGGCTACGAGACTGAAAGCACTTGGTACATGACATGCCAGCAAACAAATGTGATGTTTGTGGGCCCAAAAATGAAGATCCATAGTGTGAAAACCTAGGGATCTGGACCTGGTGCCACCTTGGTGATTTTTGGAATGAATAATAACCAGCCAATGGCCGGCAAGATAAAGAATTTACTCCAAAGCCAAACGAACAGCCAGGAGTTTGAGAAGAGAACTGTCATTCACAGACCAATGACCTCCTGGTGATCCACCCAGTCACTTCAGCACTGAAGGAATGCATCTGTGAACAGATGTAAATCTGGCTGTGGAGGAGGAAGCAAGACCCCCACCGACATGTGGGCTTTGTTCAACAACCATTGGTGATCGTCTACAAGGGATGAGGAAACGGATGTATACAAGTATCCAAGGGATCTCATGCAAGGATCCATTGATCATGAAAGACCCATTGAAGAAACCACACATGGGCACTGATCATAGGTATTAGAGGGGTCATAGAGGACCACATCACGAAAAATGATAGAACCTCATGAGCTGTAGGTGAGGGAACAGACAGGGCTTTCCAAATGGCCTGTTCCATAGAATGGAGCCAGAGTGAAGGTTGGGCCCAACTGAGATGGGTGTTGAAGAAAACACCCAAATGATTAAGGTATTGGATAGGACAAAAGAAATACTTCTCCAATTAGACCAACCATCCCACCCATGCATCTTCGGCCAGGAGCTGACAAGTGTGACAGGCTGATTCCCATTCAGGATGAGCAGGAAGAAGCCAGTCATCCAAATAAACATGGAAGTGCAACCCCATGGCATGAATATGTTGAGTAAAGGAGCGGACTACACGAAAAAATAGGTATGGTGCTGAGGCTAGGCCAAAAAGTAAGGCACACAACTAGTACAATGGATAAACCAAAGATATGGATGGGAATGCTCCACCACAGGAATGTGTACCTAAGCATTGGAAATGTCCACCTTGGTCATCCAAAGACCTGGAGAAACTGCCCACCAAAGAGAAAGGTATGTCTCCATGGTAAAGTGAGGAGTGTGATCATACTAATTGAGATAGGATAAATCGATGACAGGATGCCAGTCCTTGGTCTTCTTGGGAACCACAAACTTGTGGGAGTAAAACCCCTGACAACCTGGTTAGCTGGTTCGAAAGCCTGTTGTGTTATGAGGTCTTGAACCACCTCTGACAGATGCTGGCATGTCAAGAGATCCAGAGTAGAAGGAAGAGAATTGAGAACACTGGATAATGGAGGAAGGGAGAGAAAGGAGATAATAAATCCCTCCAAGAGCACCTTGTGAACCCAGACACTGGCCAAAAAAAGACACCACAGATGAACGAAATTCAATAGACAAGCCCCCACTGGGCCCAAACAGACCACACAGTCACTGGTACTGCTGTTGGTGGATTGTGCATCATCGAGTAAATCATCGAACTGTGGCACTGCAGGAGGGTGGGACAGGAAGAGATTGGGAAGGGGAAAGTTGGGGACAGGAAATGATGCTGTGCTTGGCCCTTATTGAGACAAACGATTTACCAATTGAGTAAGGATAGAATGTCAATAAGAGGGGTATGGGGAAAAATACTTACAAGGATACAGAGGTTCAGGGATGAATTGTCTCACCTGCTTTCCATGAAGAACTCAAGACTTATTTGGCTCATCACAACCACTGGGAATGGTCCATTTCTTAGTGTTGGGGGTGGCTTATACTACTCTTCAAGGTTGACACCCTTGTCATACTTCAGACTGACATCTACACAGTTTCATAATAGAATAATTACACTGACCCAAAGGAGGTCTAACCACACTGACCCCCCAATGGCTTGGCACTAGGAAAGCAAGGGTTCTCCCACACCACTAGAATAGATTGGTTTGTTTGTTTGTTATTAAGCACAAAGCTACCCAAAGGGCTATCTGTGCTCTGCCCACCACGGGTATCGAAACCTGGTTTCTAGCTTTGTAAGTCCGCAGACATACCGCTGTGCCACTTGGGGGGTCAGAACAAATTGGAGGGGCGGAAGTTGCATAGGAAAGAACACTAGAGAAGTGCATGGACATAACAGGAATCATCTTATCTGCATATGACTGTGCAATGAATTAACACAAAGCAATCTTTTTGGGTGGTTCTGTAGCCACTTTCTTGTACAGTCTGAATGGTAATAAAAAACATACACAGTGCTGAAGTAGTCAGGTGGAAAAATCTACCTCATGGGTAGGCACTACTAGTTTTCACACACTGAAAAAGAGAAAATATTTCTGATACTACAGTGATCATTTATGATAGAATTGTTCAGTACTGTGCAGTACCCGTGTGAGCTACTGAATGAAATTACTATGGTATAACAGCTTTCTTTTGCATAAGTAGCATTCTCAAAACAACAGTAAAATTTAATCAAATCAAAACAAAAACAGTTAAGTGCAGTTGGCAATGTTTTCCCTTTATGAAAGATTTGGCTGATAACTAGTAGCCAAAGATGACATGATGTACTACTGTTAAAACTACAACATCATGGAACTTAATGAAGCTAAATTCTCTTGCTGTTCATTATTCTGTGATTTTTTTTCAGGGTTATGAATGATATATTAAACATTACTGGTTCATATATTTAACTGTTAAAAACAATTTGTATCACGATGTAGAAACATGAGAAAATTCTGGTGGTAATTTTAAATATATTATAAGTTATTTTGAGATCAGTTTTAGGCTAGGTCTAAATATGGTTCAGATTTATTAATGTGCTTCATGCCAGTTATACAATACACAATTTTTGAAAGTAATGTAAAATGCATTTATATTGTATTGAAGCACAGTAACATTTACAAGAAATATAAATGTCCAGTCTGAAAAAATAATAGATCAATAACATAAGTATAGTTTTATATATTATTATCAATTTATAGTATTGAATACCAGAATATTTAAACATTTTTTTTTATTTAAGATCCAGTAATTTGAAAAAAGTTGAATTGCTGTTATGTGCTTCATATCCTGCCAGAAGAAACTCAGGTAGATAGAATTTTACACATGCACAATAGTAAAAATACAAATCATAAAATTACAAGTACATTTAAGATACACTATAGATTTACCTTGACCATCATAACGTATCAGTGTAGTTAATCATACTATCATTGTTCACAACATTAAAAAGAAATATCCGGAGGTATCTACTTAATATTATTTGCAGGTGGAAGAGGAACTAAGTTACATCTGCTAATTTATTTTGTAAATGATGTTCATAAATAGTAATAAAGCTAGGTTGAAACTGTTGTGTGTCTGAAGTTTAGTTAGGCAAATCTCTGAAAGAAAGCAATGACTTGTATGGGAAAGTGAAAAGTACAGATTACATTCCTAAAGTGAATATGCATATCCACATTTGACACTCTGAACTAGAATAATACATTATTCAATGTAATGATGAAAATCAGCAAAATATATATATATACTTGTGGATATCTTATAACAAAGATAATAGATTTACTGAATTATTATATGATAAGTTTAGTTTTTCTCACATTATATGGTTTTTTAGTTCATGCTCAAGTATGAAATTTAAGAATAATTCATTGACTCAAAATCACAAGCCAAACAGAATATGATACATAACCAATAAATATCAATACGTAACTACCCTAGTTCTGTTTTAGGAAATTTAGTCCATGGAATAAATAAAAGAGAAAAGGATACACAAGTGATAAATATCAATATATAACTGTCTTGACCATGTCTTTAGGGAGCCCAGGACATGGATTACATCTCCTAGTGAGAAAGGACTGATGGATGATCTTTTCTTTTCTTCAAGGTTTTTCAAAAACTCATGTATACCACCTCTAATATCAACTTGAAACACTGTGAAAATGAAGAATTAGAATAAAAGTATTTTTTACATCCAAACATCAGTATTTTACTTTCACTATAAATTTAAGAATAAAGTTCAATCTTTTACACTTGTTTTCATTTCAAAATTAAATAGGTAACTGAAAATAATCACCATGCAATATTATTTAAGAAGCATACATTTTCCTTAGCTGCTTTTTTTAATGTTGATTAACTCCAGTTCTTATACAAGTGAATACATAAAAACAATGATTGTTATATGAAAATTATAACATCACTAAAGCATAAGATACACAAATGATATATTCACAGTGTTTATGTATAGTGTCAATTATATTATGATGTAAATGTTTCTATCTAGAAACATTCATCTATTGTCTTCTTCAAATGGTATCTTACAATGACAGTTAGGGTACTATGTAAAATTGCCTTTTTTTCTACCACTGTTAAATTTTAAAGTGGTATCTTAAAAAATCAATGAAATATCACACTTCAAACCTAGCAGTTTATGTAAATAACAGAGGCTTGGTGGCCACCATTATGTATTAGTAGTCTTTTCACTCAACCTTACCTGTGACAGTCTTTCACTCTGCTTGACTGAATACACACAAAGCAGCCCCTTGTACTTCCATAAGTATATGAAAGTGAATATCTTTTACTTGACCAGCTACCTTACAATATAGCACGTGTTTACATATAGCTTATCTTCAATAAATACATACCCAAGTGAAGCAGTAAATTAAATAAAGTTTACTGCAAAAGTACTAAAAACACAACCACTGGATCAACAACACGGAGCAGTATTCTTTTTAAAAATAAGTTGTGATCCACTCTGCGGTCATATAATAGGTATAAGTACTAGATTCGGCTCCATTTTCATACAAAGTATCTACAAAGAAACTGCTTGTTATGGAAGTATTTCAACATTATTATTTCATATGTGTCAGTAACATCCACTTTGCCAAGTGTGAGACAACAAGACATTGTTCATGTTAGTCTAACACTTACATTAGCATTAGGTTTGTCTTTGTCTGTTGGGAGAAGCGATGGTAATATTCATATCATATAGACTGAACTGCAAGACACTCAGCTCCTTGCAAAAATTACTGGGGGAAATCTCAAATGCCTGGTCAAATTGAGAAATCGATACAGTAGCCTTATCAGAAAATTAAACCAGGAACCAAAAAATACAAATGACAAAGTGAATGAGAGTCGAGCAAATAAAAAATGCCTGTATCTGAAAAGTTCCCAATAAAAATAAACATGTTGTTACACACAAGTTCCAAATCAAGAAGTGGTGATTAAACAATCAGTACAGAGGAAGTCAGCTGTGCTAAGAAGGTGTTTCGCACTCCTATTGGTGGAGGTTTGTCACATGCTCACTTGCATGCTACAATGCAGCAATAACACACGGAAATACAAGTTTAGGTTGGAGCCTCAAGACTAGTGGGGACCAAAAAATTTTTCATATAAAGAGCAGCATAAAATTGAGGAAAGCTAATATGTGAGGGGAGGTAAGGTATCCTGTCAAAATGTAGTGTTTAAAAATGTAATAGGCCTAATACTAATGTGTTATGACAAATATAATTGTAATAAGATCAAAGATGTAGAGCAGTATACAACTATCCTAGATTACCTAGGACTGTTATAATTTTTATCACGTATATTCAAAGAGAGATTAACTCTCAACTCCTAACTTATTCAAGCCTCTACACCACCTCTTCACCTGGGTATGATTCATACCACAAGACAGAGGTCATACAGAAGCTTCGTGAAGAAATTACAAGGACCGCTGTGGTGTGTAATCTTGGCATTAGGCAATGATTAAAACAAGTTATTAACTGCATATTATGCTCATAAAGATGTTAACTAACTGCAGCACAACTGCATGAAATTAAAAAAAATTCTGTATAAGCCTGAATAATATTGTAAAAGGGTAAAAACCTGGCAGATTTGATGCAGCAATCTGTGTTTTCCCTTGTCACCTTTTTATCCTGAAAATGCAGATATACATTTCACTACTGATGGCAAGACTCTTGTTCTAAAAATGTCCCTGTCCTAATTCTTACCTTGCTTTCACATTGTGTTCACATATCAATTTAAGTTTATTCCACCACAAGTTCAGTATGATCTTAGGAATATCGTTCCCAAATCATAATTTACAAATTAAACTGTAAAAAAAGGTCAAACGAAACAAATAAGCACATTCAAAATAAACTTTAATTTCTGCAAAAACAATCCTTGCTCACAGCACAAAAATTTTATTTTTATAATGTAACTCATGTAAATCTGAAGCCAAAAGGTAAATAGTTAGTAATGTAGTATGGATGTATAAAAAATTACTTTTTTTTGCAGAAGAATAAAATTAATTCAAGAACAGCAAGTATATAACAAAAACAAAATTGTTATTTATTCCAAATGTTGTTCCTTCTCATAATTTTTGTCAGCTTCTCATTAATGTAATATGTATATGGCTAGAACTAGGCAGAAGGTGACTGTACGGCACAAAGAAAAAGAGGTAGGATCCCGTGAATACTACACTTTCAAAATCTTTGTGCTGTATCCAACAGTCCTAAGTTACCTATATCAATTATCATTTTCATTATATATATATCTGAGGGTATGTTAACTCTTACCATGCCATCTTGTAAAAACCTCTGTAAAAGTTGTACAAACTTCACTTGGTTATAACTCACACATCCGATTTATAAAGATATTAATTAAATGCAGCACACCTGCATAAAAACTTCTAAGAAATATTTCTGAATATGCCTGAATAAAGAAATGTTCTTTACCTGAATATGAGTGAGGGTTAAATCTGGCCATTTTGGATTGCTATATCTTATATTCACAGGTGTTGTTTTAAATAAAATGTGATTTTTGGACTTTATAAGAAAAATAAATTGTGCACCTTTATAGAAAGAGTAATTAAAATTGATAAAACAATTATCTTAGACTATTTAAATAGAAAGTCATTAAAGAAGACAAAATATTTGTAGAAAAACTAATAAAAATTGCTAAATAATTATCTTAAACTACGAGTTATGTTAACTAACTATATTTAAACACAAAAACCCTTTCATGGATTTAGTTTCTTTTACATTTATTCTACTGAAGAATATTATGACATATACATCTATCAAGAAGACTCCAGCCAAAAAGCTAAAGCTTTTAGTTATACAAATTTATATAGTGCTGTAAATTTTCAAAAAATGTAAAAATTTCCCTTTACTTTCTCTCGAGCTCTCTCTTAACAAATATGCTATTCCTTTCTTTTAATCCTGCTGCATATCTCTTTGACCATTATCATTAGAATTAAACCTTCAGCTCTCACTCTCTTCTTACTTGCACATGTAATATACATTAAAGTCAATCAGGTAGTTTAACATTTCCTTCATTAATATCTAAATCACTTGATTATCAGTAAGAAAGCACAGAATTTTTGTATAAAACGTCATATAACAAAACAATATGTTTTTACATATACAGTGTAAATGTATGTAATTTGTGATAATCAGCCAACAGTCTTTACTACTGAATTCTGAATGATTATGTAACATGACAATCACAGTTAATTCTTTATACATTCACAAGTTCTCTGGTGACTTGATGGTAACATTGAAAGCTTACAGTGATAGAATTGCAGGTTTGATTGTTAAACTGTCAATATGTTATTTTAATATACATTTTACGTTACAGGGATAATTTATCTGATTTAATGTTACTATAAACCATATGTTCACCATAATGAGCATTAATTTTTCTTTTACGTTCATAAATTAACAATCACACTACCTCTTGTTTACAACTTTTAGAGCATTATCAATGATAGTAGAGAACACTATACTTATAGGAGTATTATCACTGAAAACAAAATTTGCTGATTATAATACTTAGTAGTATATACTAAACTTTTGGTAATTTATTATATGTATAATGTACAACATTTTCAACTTCATGCAACATGTCATAGAATATTAGCTGAAAATATGAAAAAATAAGTATAGCAAGAAATTATAAAATACAATTTTTTTATAATAGAAAAATCATAATGCAAAAACACAACTAAAAAATAAGTTTTAAATATACATAATTACCTTAAAATAGAATATTTATAATTTTATTTATAATAATCTACTTTTACATTGTAATTAAAAGGTTTGTTATACCTAGCTCCTTTAATAACATGATAATCATGTTTATTTGAAGTTGATTAGTAAAAATACATTTGAATGTTGATTATATAATAAGAAAAACCAATGACAACTGTTTGAACACACTACAAAAAAATCAGTGAAAGTTAGTAAAATATGTAGTAAAGCAGATCATTATGTATATACCTATCCATGATTAAATAATTACCTAATTCTAGTGACTTCAATTTAGCCTCCTGGTGTGAAAAAACAGCACTTCTAGAATTATTCTTCCGTTTGTTTTGGAAGCAAGTAATGATGCCTGTACCATCATCAACTGTAATCAAAGCAAAACATAGTATGAAATTACTTTTCTACACCAAAACAACTTGAATGTTAATTTGATGAAAATGTAGAGATAGTCTGAGTTAATGAGATAATTTATGAAAAAATGTAAGATGTACCTGTACAATCATTTGAATGTCTGTACTATTTTGTAATCTATCTTTCTCTCTATGTCATACATACACACAAAACTAACACTTTTTTATTTGATCTGTTATTACATTTTATATAGGTATGAATGTAAATGTATATATATATATATATATATGTGTACATGTTTGCACCTTCCTTTGTTCTTTCTTCTGTTATTAAACCTATCAATTTCTTCATACTAATTTACCTAATTGCAATAACAATACTTATTTCTGTACATATTTCAAGTACATGGTTGTTTCAACAGTCCTTTCATGATGATGTAACTTAGTATTGTTCCTGTTTCTATGATGATTATTGAGTTCATGCTCAAGCTTTTTTTAAAAAAAAAACACTTTTATATTCCATTTTGGAATACAAGAAACCTCATTGCATTATCTCTCAAGCAATTCCATGTGGATATGTCCAGCCAGATGGGACTTTGGTTTCATGGAACTCACACCCCTTGGGCTTTCCCCTTCTGTCACCATTTCAGGGAGGAGCTCATCTTTGTAACTGATCAGCACTAGCCCCTCCACCATTCAATGTGTGATTCTAGCTCAATGGTGCAGAGAAGTAAGTAGCATTTCTGAAGTATTTCAGATAAATACTTAACTCTCTGCACCACCTTCCCACCCTACTTCCAATTTATTTTATTTGCCTTATCAAGAATAAGCCTATGATCATGTGCTAGTGCTCACAGAGATTACTATGCATGGTGGTTGTGTCGCCTTCCAATTGGTGAAAAACCACAACGTTATGATGATTAGTTCATAAGCTGACACATGTAGGGGTGGGATTTTGTTCATGGCTTAAAGCATTTGCAGAAAATTCCATAGCAGTTGTGTGCAAGGTAATTTCTTAGAGGTGCAGAGAGATAAGTATTTCTCTGAAATACATTTTCAGGTAAGGAAAATGTTAACTTCTACTTCTGACATATTATTGGCAACAGGAGAGCCATATAATACAAAATTAAACATTAACATTTGTGGCTTACATTGTAACACTATATTTTTTTAAAATAAGGTGTACTTTTGATTTTATTGCAAACTACTAAAACAAAGTTACATATGCCAAAATCTAGTTTCACGAGTCCAAAGTTCACAAACTGCTTAAAATTAAATACCTGAAATTACATACCTCATGATTATAGGCAGCATTTTTGATGCTATCTTGTAAGCCAACATAACCTACCTGTATATGTAGAAAAGAATGGTTAAGTATTTGATAATAAGATAATGAAATGTATTAATTAATGCAGAGTTATTGTCGTTTTTAGCATTTATGTTTTCTTCATGTACTTATCAGGCATTATCTGTGTTTCCTTTTGAGTAAACTTTTTTACTCAGCCTCATACATGATTTAAAATAAACTAACATCATTTGGTTCTCTTTTGAACAGATAAATGCTGTAAGACATATAATGTGCAACACTTACATAGATGTGAATATAATTATACTAAAGTTTTCAGTAGTAACAATAAATTGTTAGGTATTCCAATTTCATTTGTTATGAAAATAAAGTATAGTATTTAGAAATTTGGAATTTAATGCTAGAAGTTTTGTTATCTCTATACAGTTTGTGCTAGGAGGATTCAAGTAAAGTATTGTTTATAAGACTTAGATCTAGTATCTCAAAGTTACAGTTTAAAAATGCACTGAATGTTGGCAAAGCAATTTTTTTTTCTTTTACACATTCCTCTTAATTTGACTATTGTTATTTGAAAATCAGAGGCATGTAAAAATAGTGCTTCAGATCTGTTTTTTGCCTCCAACAAGTCACTGCTCAAGAAGACATTCAATATCAGAACTCATCAGTTGGGCTGGATGAGGAGATGTGAAAGATTCCCTGAAACGCTACTTATGTATGCAGTATAATAAATGAAAAGTTACTTTCATTAGATATCTATTCATGTAAATTACTAACCATATTCTTGTAAATAAAGTAAGAAAATCAATATGTAATTACCCTTCATTAGGTTTTACATTAGAGATGCGGTATTATACACTTCCAGGAAACACCTCAAAAGAAAGTTGGGTCAAACTGGTCTCTTACTGAGGAGAAGGTACAACTCACAGAGAAAACTTTTCATATCAAGATAATCAGCAGCTTAGGACTTGGGAAGTAAGTATTCTTCCATACTCCACTAGAACAATAGGAGGGAAGGAAGGAATACAAATTGGGAAGAACACCAAAGAGTGTGTTTGGACAGTTGTCACCAGGTACACTCACCTGGAACTGGGTTCCCACTCAGAGACAGTGCAATGAGTTATTAAGACTAAAGACAGCAAGTGTAAGCTAGGTTTAAGAGCAAGACTGCACTGCACCTGGTGCCATTTTTTTAACAATTTAGATACAGCAATGTTAATTATAGCACTATATTTCCAAAGTTGTCTTGCAGAAAACCCCATCTTAACAGTTGGCATTGAACAGAGGCAGATGGATTTAATACTTCCCATTCCATCCTACTTGATGTAGATTTCAGGTAAGTATTCCCTGTGAAGCAAAGCCAGCCACTTGGTGGGTACCTATGGCACCATGCATAAGGAACTTAAGATGTAGTTCCTCATGTAACATTTGATCTGTTGAGTCTTTGCCTCCTCCTTTTCATTTGTTTGTATTTATTGAGGAACTTGCAATTGTACAGAAATCATTGTACACACAAGAAGGTGCCAGGAAATGTACAAATGACATGGAGATAACTGAAAAACATAACAGGCAAGATTTACTAAACTAGCACCTCTGGGTTGACTGGGGAATGGTGAAAACCAGAGGCACAGGAAACTGCCAAGTAATGTAAGTAATGGGAGACTTACCTGTAGTCCACATACCAGCCTGATAGATCTCCTCCAAAGACCGATGATGAAAAGAGGCAAGAGAGGCTGTGATGTGCCAAAACTGCTGGAAAGAAATGTAAAAAGTGCATGGTCAGAATCATTCAAAGAATAATATGCAAGATGGATGATTTGGAAAACCTAACCAGTTAAAGTGGAAGGGGGCTATTGTAAAAAATTGGGGATGTTCATTTCCACAAAAAAGGGCAGTCCAAGCAAGACAGCAATGGACAGCCCATATAGGACACAAAAGATGATCAAGATTAGAAGAGGGAAGAGAGATGGAGAAAACATCTGATCACCCTCCTGAGCAGCCAAACTCTTTGGAAGAAAGGAGTGGACTGGAAACAACATTAACAGGTCCCCATGATAGAGAGTATGGGAGGCATATAAGGCATAAATGTCTAAATGAGGACATCCACAAGCACGAAAAAGGACAAATATATCTTGAGAGAAAAATTATACAAGGAACAAGAGGCCAATGGCTTGAAGTTTGTAAGTAAGTGCCTGAAGAACCAAGCAAAAGTCCTAGTACGAAAAAAGGACAGGACAAGGAGAGCAAGGAGAAGAGATTATTGCCTGGATAGAGGTAGAAAGTTCTGGACAAACCTGGATTCAACAAAACAGATAGGAATTAGATAAAAAGCCAGGTGAAGAAGAAAGTAAAATGTGGAGTTGCGAAACAACCTAGTTTGAGAGAGTGGCATAGAGACCAGTGGTTGTAGATAGCCCATTTACATTGACAGAGGGCAATAATACAAGGCTGACAAGAGTGACATATATTATATATTAAGATGAGAATGCAACACCCTGTCATGAAAAATGGATATTCAAGGTCAACTGAGGAGAGAGAACTCCAAGGTGGAAGATGCAAAAGCATCAATCTGAAGGATTCCAAAATGATAACAAATCTAAAAGAAGATGAAAGGATTTAAGAACCACTCCATGAGATGTATCCTGTCAAGACAAGAGAAACAATCCACCACCAGATAAAAATCCTAAGGATATGAGTTGTTGCAAGGAGAATAAATATGATGACTGTAGACCCACAAAAGGAATTCCAGAATGGGAAAGCACATGTCCCAAGAATGGGTGCCTCCCTGACAGTTGAATGAAATAATGACCATAGACTTGTCTGAGTGAAGTATCACAAGATGACTGGACAACCCAAATTGAAGAAGAGGGCAATCCCAATAAGCCACACTCATCTCTAGAAAGTTAAGATGTAGGGAATGCTCCTCTGGAGACCAGACCCTGGAGATAATGGTAGTGTTGAGAACTGAATCAGGATTTGTTGGAGTGATCAACTCACCACAACAAGGGATATAGAGAGGAAGGTAGAGACACAAGAGTGGATAATGGAATGCAGAACATGTTCCTATGATTCATCGCAGCCCACTGAAGGGGATGGATGTGTATATAACCAAGATAAATCAGGGATCATAGGGAAGCAAGAGTTCCCAAATCTGAAAGAGAAGAGCCTTGAATACCAAAATTGAGCAGATTTTTGGAAAGAAAGACAAATAATGGAGGAGGAGTATCCCAAGTAGAAATAAATGACATGAGAGATTGGGGATTAAGAAACATAAAGGGCCAAAGGAGTTCCAAAGATGAGTAGGACAAGCAATATAAATGGACAAACAAAGTAAAACAACCAAGGACATTATGATACAAGAGGTAAAGCAAATAGAAAATCACATACCTGATTCACGAGTGTAGCAAATAGAAAAGGGAAAGAACCTGTTTCTCATCAGAGAGAAAAGAGCCAGAAACAAAGGTTGGAGGTAGAAGAGCTGGCCAAAATCATCCACAAGCAAGACAAACTCCACAGAAGGTAAAGATATAAAATGACTAGGAACCTGACCTGGTAAAGAAATAGATAGAAGGGAATCAACAATCTGATGTACCTACTGGAAACATCATCAGTTAACTTGTTCATACACCATCGTACATCACAGCATAATAATGCATAGGAATGGGATTCTAGCTGGAGCCAACCAAATGCTAGATCTGTTTGTACTGCAAAACAACTCCCCATGATGTCAGAGAAGTATATATATGAGCAGATGAAGCTGGGAAGAAGGAAATTTAGCAGGAACACCATAGTACTGCAACTCCTGTCCAACCAAAAAATAATGTTGACAATATTAGATGATTAAACAAGACAAAAAGAATTGAAGGGATCACTTGAGACATTTCAGTGATCTTCGAAGCTAAAGCCAACCAAAAGCTAGAGACCCATTTATACCCCAAAACAGTTCCCCATTCTGTCAGAGAAGTACATATGAGCAAATGAAGCTGGGAAAAAGGAAACTTAGCAGGAACATCCACAGTACTGCAACTCCTGTCCAACCACAAAGAATGTTGACAATATTAGATGATGAAATAAAACAAGGTGATTGAAGGGATTGCTCTAGATGTTTCAATAACTTTTAAAGTCTCAGTGGAAAATTTTAAGTGTACATGACTCTTTACTACAACCCATTTCAAAAAACTTAAGTATATGTATACAGTGCTCCAGGTAATTTTTTGCTATGGTCAGTATGGTACCTAAAACACTTTTCCTCTATCAGTATATAAGGGTTTGAATGTATCAATATTATCTTATTGTGTATTTGGCCTCAAGAAAGTACTACAAAAACACACACACACACAATTTACTTTTCATTTTCTGAATTCTCTGTTTGTATGGTTGTGAAAGCCTCACCCTTCTTCTGTTTTTAGCACTGTCCCATATTTTAATTGCAAAAATGGGATCATACAATGAAATTTCTGGGCCTAACATTACAATTCTCATTATACAATCTATCTTTCCAGTTTTCACAGAGCATCTGAATTTTGTCTTGAGCCTGTTTTACACAGAAAAGGCTCTTTCATAATCAATGCTTGTCATACAAAAGCATAAAGCTATTTGACATAATTTTGCCACATTAGGAAATTGATCAACAAGCAGTTTAATAACCCTTCTACATAAATGTTTAGTGCCTTTCAATATGCCTTTGAATCTAGGTAATTCATTTTGTGCCAGATAATTTTTGTTAAGCAAGGGCATCACTTCCGTTTCAGTGTTTTTCTCAGCATAACTTGAAATTCTGGCAAGTTTATTGGTTCCACAAAAATCTGTAAAATCAGTAATAGTCCAATTTGCTAGATCAAAACCTGAAATATGTGTACAGCAATAATGTTATGAAAAAACAACAACCTGATATTCATTTAAGTAGTCTAAGAGATTATGCAAATAGTATACAAAAATTTTAAAATGCAAATAAGTATAAGTTATTCCTATCATGAAATTCACATTTCGTGCAGATACTTTATTTTTTAAAAATCAGATTTTTTTGTGTACAACTTACTTTTCATGTTTACTAAAATATTGCCAATTTTCATGAAGATACTCACTGTAAATTTTGAATTACAGTAATCATTAATTTTTCAATATGGGCTTGGTCCATTGCGTGAGCAACATTGCATGTTGTGATATGCACACTTTTAGGCATACAGGTGAGTAGAGACTGTAAGACCAGTATAAAACAAAGGGAAATTACTGAGATACAGCTAAAATAAAGAGAATGGGAAAAATAAACAAGTTTCCAAACTGTCAAAAACATTGATAGTTGAGAGTACTGTCGGCAATTCTACAATTTACCATCAATGCATTGCTATCAGGATATTCATAATCACAATCTATCAATAGTTCGATGTATTATTAAACTTCTAATTGTGGATTGCTTGTCTTTTTAAGCACAATGCA